TGATTAAGATGGTCAAGGTGTGGCAGTTATTTGTTTGCTGCGTCACGGCTGAAAGGTTAACGCAGTTATAACATTACTCGTGGTATTATGTCCTTCCTATCCTCCAATTGTACTCTTGTTCGTTATTATCTTTGTTGTTGCTGCTGCTGTCATCGTTCTTTGTTGGTCTTCTGTTATTTATTAGTTTTGTTGTTTTTGTTATTTGTTACTTTTGTTGTTTCTATAATAATTTTAATCTTCCAGTAATCATTATGAATATTGGTAATAACGAATATTGTTGTTTATTTTTGAATTGTCATTATTTGGAGATTATTATATTGATGTTTATCTTTGAGCTTTATTTATGTTTATGCCATATGTATTTAGTTGTAATTGATATGCTAATCTCTTCATTATAATTTTCATTTTATAATTATCAACTTGATCGTCACATAATTCAAATCATGATAATTGTTTTTATTTATTATCATTATTACTACAATTGTTTTATTGTTATTTATATCATGAATAGTTTTTGTTATTGACTTTAATTACTATTACTGTTATTGTGATCTTAAATGATAACGGTCAGTGTTGTCAATGATTTATTATTTTTATCAACATGATTTATTCATGATTAGAATACTGGTTATCATTTTCTGTCATTATCATAATTACACACGTGTGTGTGAGTGTGTTTAGGTGTCTATATGTATATATATTTATGTATATATGTATTAACACGTGTGTATGTATGTATATACGATTTGTTATATATATATATATATATAATATATAATAATATATATATATATATATATATATATATATATGTATGTATGTATGTATGTATGTATGTATGTATTTATATGGTTAACCCAAAAGTGATATATCTGTGAGCGTGTATGTGTTGATTGATTGATTTATTCATCTATCTATTTATATCCAGCCTTTGTTAGTTTCACGGAAACGCAATCACTGCTTTCTACACTTATTGATCGAACATTTTAGAAGGAATTATAACATTATATCAGTAATGAATCCCGCTTTATAATTTCTGAAATATGAATATACAAGTTATATCCATCCATCCGTAAATTGTAGTTTCAGGTGGCGTCTAACCTGAAGGTGGAATTCGAAAGGTAACTTAGTAATCCAGACATACATTACTGTGATTACTGAGTAAATGGTCGGTGAGTTATAGATCGGTGGCCATGATTGATCCAGAGCGGTTAGGGGGCCAGATAATGTGGGTAAATGCCGCATGTGACATTAAGTGTGTTTTCTGTATGTCACACTACTGCTAATCTCCTCAGCTGAGATAATGAGGTCAAGATGAAGCCATTGTTTTGGCATTTGATTAACAACATTTCGTACCTGCAAGTGATTGAAATTAATGACCCTAAATGTGTTTACAGTACGTGTATTTCTGTATGTACAGCTTTATCTGTTTATCTACAAGCCTAATTATCTGTCTATCTATCTATATCAACCTAAGTATGTATACAGCTATATATATATATATATATATATATATATATATATATATTATAATATATGTATGTGTGTGTGTGTGTTGTGTGTGTGTGTGTGTGTGTGTGTGTGTCGTGTGTCGCCAAACTCTTACCAGGTCCGCACTTGTCCTCAAATCACGGTTCGTATTCCATGTCGTTATCCGATAATTGTAAATATATTGGAATGCAGAGAGGCTGACCTCGGTTTTATAGATGAAAATATGCGTCGCACTCTGTGTCCATTGAAATCAGTGCTTGCTCTTTTCTGCGGTGTTTACCTCAGTGAAATTGCGAGTAAATAAACCTTTCTTGAAATTACTTTTACCAGACTTGTAGCTGCCGTTACCAGTGTCAAGTTCGTCATGTAGTGTGTCTGTTAAATCTCAATTAAATGATTTCTCACAAACTTCGACCAACACTAGATACACAGTAGACGTATTTCCAGGTAACTGCGTATGTAATAAATCACGAATGTTCTATATCACCTGGCGATCGCACCCTTGCTTGCTCATGTTATAAGACTAGAGTACTTTTTGTATCAGAGTCAAGGTATTCCAGGAATTTTGTCAGCATTTTGCATGAGTTCAGGATGCCTTCACATGTGGGCTGTAGATATTGATGTTACGTGGCACTTGTATTCAGGTAATAATAATGTAGTATGTTTAGAGGAAATAAGAAAAAAAAAATAACCTAGAGCTCTTGGGTTGCATCCACACATACACACACACACACACACACACACACACACACACACACACACACACACACACATATATATATATAATATATATATATATATATATATATAATATATATATATATGTGTGTGTGTGTGTGTATATATATATGAAAGATGGAATAATGCACTGGCCGCATTTGATATAATTTTTTTTTTCTTTAATAATGCGTTCCTCCAAGTCGTTATCTTTGACAAGAATCAGAAATCCAATACCACATAAATCAGAAAAGCAATATAATGTTATAAACCTAACTTTCCTGCTCTTGGACAAACGCGCTGTATATAGGACCTTGCCCTTCTTCCTTTCACATTAACATTATCTTCATAGGAGGGGGAATGGTCCAAAATTTGTTATCAGCTAACTGTGCATGAGCAACCATCTAAACTGCATTTGTTTCAAAGTTTGCAATCCTGGTAATAACCCGGGATTTACTCGAGACCAACACACGCAGCTTGCATTATGAACCTAGAACTTAGGGCGCTAGTGGAGACCTAATGTGTGCTGTAGAAGATAGCTAATTATTTTAAGAGATAGCAGTGTCATAGATGGCGATGATGCAGCCATGTAACAATTTTTTTTTTCCGTACAGGCACAGGTTCAGTAATAATAACAAAATTACATACGTTGGAATGACATACATTATTATGAAGCTTCCACAGATAGTTTAGGGAATAAATTGTCTCTAGAATGTAAAACAAGTCACTTTTCTGAGCAACAAGTGTCAGCTATAAGGAATTTATTTATGAAATGCTCAGAAACGGATATCGAATTATTCACCCAATATCCGTGTCGAATAAAGCACTAGGATAATGTTGCTTGTACTAGCGAAGTAACTGTGTTTAAATATGGTTTATTTGAGATGGCTGCAAATGTACTTATAGTTACGCCTATTTTACTGATCACTGTCATTGATACAGCGGAATCATGGTGTGCCACGTACAACTTACATGGTGAACTTTATGTGTTAAATCAAGTCCTAAGCAATAAAATCCATTTCTGAATGTCTGCTGCCTTATAGATCCGATTTCCCAGATTACTATAAGATTAACACTCCCTCTTGCAAATTCCTGTATGATATCCCTCTAATTATGTCCCATAAATCAAAACAACAAAGGTTTCCATTCCGTTCAGGTTATCCACCGGTGTCTCAAGAGAAGCTGCTGTGGCAATCATTACTTACGAGAATGATTGATAGAACATTTTAGAATGAATTGTAGAGTTATGTATGTAATTCATAATATTCGAAATATGGGTTCTTGCTTTCCCTTCCCGGATGAAGTGCAGTTTTACTCGCCTCTTTCGCATTCTCTCCCATGCCTCACGCAGCTCCAAATTTCCCTTTCTGTGACCAGCAGTCCCTCACAAGCAGTATTCGTCTCTTACTTTTTCTCTGTCTTTTTATAATTCTTACAGGAGTATGCTTTGCAGCACCTTAGGAGTCACGTGATGTCCCTCTTTCTGTCCCTTGTCCAAAAAAATCAAAAAAGCAGGTTTACTTTAGAAGTCCCATAACTATATTGTTTTATATTCCAGAACAACATTTTCCTCACCATCCCTAACCCGGTGTGATATTCGCGTTTTACTTTCTACCAGGCTTTTGTTAGACACGATTTCAACAGATCTTGTAACTCCTCACGCCCTTTGATTGTTCAAGATGTTCAGACACCGAGTCGCATGCCAAACTCTGTTCTTTTAACAGGAATTATCATTGTCTGTGGGATCGTCTGTCCATCATCTGTTCGCAATTTCACGTCGTAACATGTTGTCAGGTATTACTATCTCGTTACTTCTCATAAAATACATTCACCCTTCTAGAAATATATAACAAGAGATAGTAAATGGTTGTAGCTGATCAGGGACACGAGTAAGTGCACTTGGTTCGTAATACCGTTATTGAGAACTTTTAGAGGATGTTAGTAAGACTTGTATGCAATACCAAATAGGCCATTATTTCAACAAACTTTTAGCTGTGCGGCTTATAAAGATGCTATAGAACAAAATTTTCGAGGCAAAGTCAACAAAACTTTCAACGTAGTTTTTCAATCTTGCAAGATCTAGTTGGAGAAAACAGAAATGAGCAGGAAATATTATAATATATATATATATATATATATATATATATATATATATATACTATAGTATATGTTCATTTATGTATATATATATATATATATATATATGTATATATATAATATATATAATATATATATATATGTACACACATATGTGCGTGCGTGTGTGTGTGTGTGTGTGTGGTGTGTGTGTGTGTGTGTGTGTGTGTGTGTGTGGTGTGTGTGTGTGTGTTGTGTGTGTGTGTGTGTGTGTGTATGTGTTGCCTGTGTGTATGTGTGTATTGTTGGTGTGTGTGTGTTCTATATATAATATATATATATATATATATATATATATATATATATATAATATATATATATATATATATTGTGTGTGTGTGTGTGTGTGTGTGTGTGTGTGTGTGTGTGTGTGTGTGTGTGTGTGTGTGTGTGTGTGTGTGTGTGTGTGTGTGTGTGTGTGTGTGTGTTGTGTGTGTGTGTGTGTGTGTGGTTGTGTGTGTGTGTATATATATATATATTATATTATATATATATATACACACACAATATACATGTGTGTGCGTGTGTGTGTGTAGTTCTGTGCTTGTGTTCTGTGTGTGGTGTGTGTTGTGTGTGTGTTGTGTTGTGTGTTGT